ATGGGAGAGTTGAATGGGGATGTGGTGGGAATCACCACCCCTGTGTCTTTCAAGTCCTTTATGGTGGCAGTAATCTCTGCAATCCCTCCAGGAATGTTTACTATTTTTCTAGGTAATGGCAGCTCTAATGGCTTCCATTTGGCCTTTCCTAGTATAACTGCTCTCACTCTACCAGTCAGCCAGTGTAGGGGTTCTGCCATCTGCTAAGTATGCCTGTGCCAATTAGACATTCTGGCACTGGGGAAATGGCCACAGGTTGAGTCTGGGGACCCATTGGACCCACTCTAAGTTGGACCTGAGCTAAAACTCCAATAATTACCTGACCTGCTTAAGCCCCTGCTTTAACTGGAGGACCACAATGACGTTTTGGGTCCACTGGAATTAACATCAGCTCAGAGCCAGTGTCAGTAGTCCCCTGAAATGTCTGATCATTTCCATTTCCCCAGTGCACAGTTAGTTACCCTGGTAAAAGGCCGTAGGTATCCTTGGGGAAGGATTTGAGAAAGATTCACTGTATAAATTGTTGGTAATGGAGTGAGATCTTTCCTCAAAGGGACCCAGCCTCTCCTTCATTCATGGGTTTCTGGGTCTGTAAACTGGCTCAAGCCTGTAAATTAATTGAGGGGCCATGATTCTTTTTTATGATTCACATTAGTCCTTTATCCATTTGACCTAGAAGTTTTCTGCTTGTATAAACTAAGTTGGAATGCAGCAGGCTTCCTATCAAATTCACTTCTAGGAATACCATGATTAATTAGCCAGTGCCAGACCTCTGCATGAGTCAAACTATTCTGATCGCTGCTTTGCCTTTGCTTTCCATTACGGTAGCTATGTCCATCTTGCCTTAGATGGTTGTGTGCCACCACTTGGCCCCTGCCACCTTGGGATCCAACTGTTCCCATTGTATTTAAATTTTGTAGTTGAGTGACTGCAGTTCTCATTGTTAGATCTGACATACAGAGAAGAGCAATTACAGGGCTCTTCAAAGATGTAGGCGCTGCCCTCATAATACTGTTTCACAAGGCATTGGTCAAGGGTGTATCTTCTGGACCCTCCCAGTTGGGATGAGTAGATATAAAGTCACTAATCCATTCCATCATCGCAATCTCCCTAAAACTGTGGATCCTTTCCTCTACATTAAACCAAGAGAAATCATGCATTTCCAGTTTGCTCAGAGTGGGCCTTATTTTAATCCATATTTCAACCAACCAAGCAAATAAACCAGTAGAACCTTTTCTTTAACTCCCTGAGCTGCAACACTAAATGCAGAGTCCATACTTAGTGGGCCCAAATTAATAAATTCAGCCTGATCCAACTCTGTGTTCCTTCTACCATTATTCCACACCCTTAAAATACATTTCCATGCCTGTTCTCCACATTTCTGTTTATATAAACTAGAAAAACTCAAACACTTTTTTTCGAGTAAAGTATACTTCAACATGGGTCATACTCAGCCTCACCTCTGGGGCCTGCTGGGACTTTAGTTATAGGCCTAGAAGCAAACAGGTATTGGGGGGTGCTGGTCTAACCCCTGCTTTTGGACCTTTGCACTTGCTGTGCTCCATACTGGAATACTTCCCATACTTTTCAGATCTCATTTCAAAGAGTCTTTCTTAGACCTTTGCTGATCTCTGGGCTATATCATATCTCCTTTTATAAAATCTCATGGCTCCTTCTTCCCATATTTTAAAATTGCATTTATCTCTGTTTGCAGGTAGGTATTTACATGGTTATTGGATGCTGTTTGTTTCCCCAATTATAAACGTTCTATGAGGGCAGAGACAATTTCAGTCCTTATAAAGATTTAGAATGGCCCTGACAGTAGACAACAAATATTAAATAACTGAAATGCATAATGGGGCAATTAAAATACAAACTGATTAATTCTAAAGTGTATTAGACTGTTTTCACACTGCTGATAAAGACATAACCAAGACTGGGCAATTTACGAAAAGAGAGGTTTATTGGACTTGCAGTTCGATGTGACTGGGGAGGCCTTCCAATCATGGTGGAAGGTGAAAGGCATGTCTCACATGGCAGCAGACAAGAGATGAGAGCTTGTGCAGGGAGACTCTCATTTTGAAACCATCAGATCTTGTGAGACTTATTTGCTATCACAAGAACAGCTTGGGAAAGACCTGCCCTCATGATTTAGTTACCTCCCACTAGGTCCGTCCCTCATCACATGGGAATTCAAGATGAGATTTGAGTGGGGACACAGCCAAACCATATCATAAATTGAGCTAAGTATAAATGAGATCACAGTGTTGGCATGTTAAGCATTGTTATTTGAGAATACTTAAGTTATTATAGCACTGGTTTGATAAGCTCTTGAAGCCAAGAGCTGAAGACCAGCTTGAGCAACAAAGTGAGACTCCCATTTCTACAATAAGTAAATAAATAAAGGCATAAGTAGTATTTTGAATTACCCAATATGCTTAAAATCTTCTCAGAACTTCATTTTGTTGTACTTGAATGAACTTTACAACAAAAACTTGCCCCTTTTATTGAATCTGCACAATATTTGAAGTTTATACTTCAAAAAGGTTATCACTGGTTATATACAAATTTATGTTTACTTATATTACTTATGTTTGCAATTTGTTTATTTCCTTTATATGGAATGTGTTTATTTTAGTTGTCTAAGGCATAAAACCTTTAAATTTCGACCAACTTGTTAAAACAAGGAATAGACATTTTAGTAGGTTACTTAGCTCTTAGAAAGAAATCAAAAAGGTTTAAGGAATATTGAGATTATGCTTTTATGTTGACTTTTTATATTGGGCCTTTATTTACTACATTACTATTTTTGGCAGATTGAAGTGTATTTGTGAAAACTCCTAAGACTTTAGTATTTCATTGAAAATTGGTTTCGTGCTGTTGTTTACTTTTTAAAATTAGTGCTCTCAATAAGATTTTGATTTTCATCTATCTTGAATTCTCCCTAGGAGTGCACAACTTCAAAAAAAGAGGCATAGTCAGCAGAAAAAAGAGGTGGTCTGAGCATTTGTGTGTTAAATATGCATGTTAATTAGGAAAAAAATTAGAAAAATATGAAAACAGATGTTACATAAATTATTGCAGTCCCAGGGCAGCAGTAACTTATACACTGACAATAATTTTTATATGTGCATGTGTATATTTATTTCTGGATTTCTCAATATTTATGAAATTCCTAAGAGAATAACTAGAAAAAGAACTGGTATATCCTTTCAGTGAGACGATGGTAAACATTCCTGCTGCATATGGATTTTTGAGAAAGTTTAGTTGTTTCATATAGTCTTACAGTAGAGATGGTTTTTTGTGTTTCCTAATTCTGCCCATAGTGTTCTCTATTTTTTCCTCCTTTCTTGGTTTCTCTGATGGTATGTCAATTTATTCTTTGGCTATATCCTGTCACAACAGGAAGGTTAATTAAGGATCTTGGTAGTGTAAGAAATTGAAAATTGGCCTAAAATAAAAAAATTGGTCTAAAGTATGTATTTAGAAATAAAACACATTATAACTATTAATTATAGTGTTACTTTTTCTTCTTGTTACTGTCACACATTCTGAAGAAATGGCCATCATTCTCTGAACAGTAATGACATACTACTATGACAATACATATTGGTACTTAAATACAGATTTTATCAAATACACATATGTTGGAGTAGTTGAAAGCTGTTTAAATATCTTTTATTCTAAACAGCCATCCAAAGAATAAAAATGGTCTGTATTTTTACAAAATTAAGATGAGAAATAGTCCAGCTTTGTTTTAGTGGTATAGCAATTTTTAGTTTAGCTGTACATGAAAAAGCATGAATATAGTGCTGTGCAAGGAGCAGCTGATGATATTTAGATATTTTCTATATGTGTAATATAATTTAGAAAAGTATTGTTTGTTACTTTTCAAATTAGATTGGAAATTAACATAAGAAAATGCAGCATCGCAATGTAATGCATAATTCTCTTTACCAAGCAGACAATCAAAATATGAATTGTATTCAATAAAATGGGTATATCTGAAAGGGCAAAAAACTGTTTCTGGAAATCCTATTTTCAGAAGTGTGCTTTTGTTACTCGATTTTAGTAGAATGTCATACTAAAATGTGTTTGAAATAATTAATTCCTATTGAATCTCAGTAAGTTTCAGTTAGAATCGGTCATCTTGTTTTTCAGTTACATGTTATTGATTTATATTTTACATTATATTAGCGAAGTGCTGCTATCTTTTTGTACATATACTAAGCCACCAGTAAGCTCTTAACAGGTTGTTGGACCTTAAGAACTAATAGAGAATGAAATCTAGAGGAAGTTGATGTTTAAGTAATTTTTGTTATTAAGAGGTTTTTTTACTTAAATTGGATAGCCTAGTGAAGAAATTTAGTTCTTATTCTTACAGATTTTATGTAAATATATCTATGTCTATGATTATTTATGGAGGTGTATTAGTAAAGATGATAAAAGTTTTTTTCTTTTCATCTAGGAAAAGGCTGTGAAAATTAATTTTAGCACCTAAATAATATTCACTTGTCATCACTGATGCATCTGTATTCTAATTTTATATTTTATTAATGCTTTGGAATCCATTTTCAATGAAATTTCTTTCACATTTGTTTTCAAATGTCAAATTTCCATTTTTTATATTATGTGATTTTAAAATGTGATACATTTTACTTTGTGTTAGAATAATAGGTTCCTTATTTCAACACTTTTATGTCATTTCAGTGCAAAGTTAAATGAAGTAAGAGATGATTGTTTTATAGTGAAGTCTGTTGTTTTTGTATTATATCTGTAAAATGCCATTTATTTTTGGTATTACAAAATGCTTCTCTTTCTTCCAGGAGTTAAAATAGGCGAAGGAAACTCATTAATGAGTAGTCTAATGTTTGTCCTCTAAGAACTTAAATATTTTGATAGGAATTTTTTTTAGACTGCCTTTTGAATTGTTTGATATTAATTAGGGTTCCTCCTGGGATAAGACCATTTGAAACTATTTTATTTATTTGTTTTTCTAGGGAGATGCTGTTTTTCCAGCAGCTAAGTTGAGGAAGAACTTAGTTCATCTCTGTTTCGTGATTCCTCTTCAATTTGTTTGCTAACCAAGACTTGTGTTTGGAGAACTCTATTGTACTGAGCCTAAGTCATCTTTGATCTATAACAAGAAACATGCATTTTCACATGTCAACCAGATTTGTGGACCAGTAAAGTTCTCCCAAAAGGTAAGCATATATATATTTAAAATATACATTTTAAAATAGAATAGTCTAAATACTCTTACCACAATAATGTGTTCCATAGATATTTGTGCAAAAAAAAAGAAAAAAAGTATGTGTGTGTACTTCTGCCAAATTTAGATTGAAGACTTCTTCAGGGAATAGTGTTGCGCCTGCAACACAGTTACTCAGTTTCCTCATCTGTTTCTGTCTTACCTCCTACTTTCAGTCACCAGTTTCCATTCTTTTCCCTTTGCTCATTGTTTTTCTTCTCAGTTGGCTGAATCTTCCAGGTGTCTTTTAAAAATGTTTTCCCACCAGCGGATTTAAGCACTTTCCTTAAGGAACACTTTTTGTATCCATAGGCCTTTTATTTTCTATTCTCCACCCCACAACATTTGATGCAGTTTCTTTTCTGCATCAATGAAGCTGCCTTTTCCCTTGTCTCTTCTGTGCTTCTCATCCCTTTCCCCGTTCAATATAAGCGATCAAATGACTTAAGAACTGGATTACTGCTGGGAAACTCCGCAGTCCTTACTGGGTTCTTTTATAGTAAGAGGTACACAAGTGTTGAGATCTCAGAATTTTAAAGAAAAATAAATCTTTGATGTAATCATATCTTTATAGTAACATGTATATTTCTTTATTCTCTTCTTGTTTGTTTTGTCTGTCTAAATTGTATGTGCATCCAGATGCTCTTAAATCATTCTTGGTCTGAAACATGTTTAACTTTTTACATTCTGAGTATCAAGTTAGAATAACCCAGATCCTTTCCCAATGTGGTTTCTTCTAGTACCCATTCCCATTTTATTTAACACTTGTCTCCTTTTAATAAATTGTAGGCATTTTTTGTGATTTATTTTTTGTTAGAAAGTTTGGTAAATATAGAAAAACATAAAGAATATAAAAATTACCTCTAATCCAGGCTGGGCATGGTGGCTCACACCTGTAATCCTAGCACTTTGGGAAGCCAAGGTGAATGGACTGCTTGAGCTTAGGAGTTGGATACCAACTTGGGCAACATAGCAAATCCCCATATCTGTCTAAAAAATAAATGTGAACTTAAAAAAATTAAAAGAAAAATATTTTGAATCCTATCATACAGAGATGAACTGATATACCATTTTAAAAATCTATTACTTGAATTTAATAGAGGAAACAAACAACCTGAAATGAAACTTAAAGAATCGCTAAACCTCAGATAAGCTCCCTACCTCCAAACCATAAATACTAGTTTCTGAGAGCTTTCCAAAGTTAAATTAACATTATGAACATCTTTGGAAATCTTTACTCTGGAAATAAGAAAATAGAAAGAGTGAACTGAAAGGAGAATGTCTTTTATTTTAAGGTAATCTATTGAGGTGAAATTAATATAACACGAAATTCACCATTTTGAAGTGAACAATCCCATGGCATTTAGTACGTTGACAGTGTTCTGCAACCTTCCATCTCTATCGAGTTCGGAACTTTTCCATCATGCCATAGTATTACCTGTTAAGCAGTTTGTCTTCATTCTGCCTTAGCCCTAGGCTCTGACAGCCATCAATCTGCATTTTGACTCTATAGATTTGTGTGTTCTGTATATTTAATATGAACATAACCATATAAGATGTGATGTTTTGTGGGTGGTTTCTTTCATTTAACGTAATATTTCCAATTTTCACGTTGTAGCACTTAATTACTTTTCTTGGCTGAATGCTATTCCATTTGTTTATCCATTTATTTGTTCATTTACATTTGGTTTGCTTCCACTTTTTTGGTTACTCTAAATAGTGCTGCTATAAACGTGTGTACACGTACCGGTTCAAGTACCTATTCTCTGTTCATATGAGTATGTACCTAGGAGTGGAATTGCTAGGTCATATTGTATTTCCATGTTTAACTTTTTGAGGAACCACCAAACTGTTTTCCCATGGCAGTTGCATCATTTTACATTCTTGTCAGCAGTGTATGAGGATCCTACTTTCTTTGAGATAGAGTCTTGCTTGATTGCCCAGGCTGGAATGCAGTGGCGCGATCTCAGCTCACTGCAACCTCTGTCTCCCAGGTTCAAGCGATTCTCCTTCCTCAACCTCCTGAGTAGCTGGGACTACAGGTGCATGCCACCAAGCCTGGCTAATTTTTTGTATTTTTAGTACAGAAGGGTTTTTCCATGTTGCTAAGACTGGTCACAAACTCCTGAGCTCAGGCATTCCTCCCACCTCAGCCTCTCAAAGTGCTAGGATTACACGTGTGAGTCATTGCACTTGGCCAGGTTCCACTTTCTCTACATTTTGCTAACGCTTATTATTTTCAGTATTTTTTATTATCAGGAATGTTATGATTACTGATAAATGACTTGTAACAAAGTAGAGAAATAATAATAAATTTCTTATATATTTAATTAATTTCTTTCTTCTTTTTTTTTTTTTGAGATTGGGTCTCACTCTGTCTCCCAGGCCAGAGTGCAGTGGTATGGTCTCAGCCCACTGCAACCTCTGCCTCCTAGGCACAAGCAATCCTCTCACCTCAGCCTCCCAAATAGCTGAGACTACAAGCATGAGCCACCATACCTAGCTAATTTTTGTATTTTTTTGTAGAGATGGGGTTTTGCCGTGCTGCTCAGGTTGGTCTTGAACTCCTGAGCTCAAGTGATCCACCTGCTTTGACCTCTCAAAGTGCTGGATTATAGGCATGAGCCACCATGCCTGGCTCATATTTTATTTCTTATTTAGCAATTACATTTCTCATATAGAGATTATGCATCATTTCAGGATATCACTCAGTTCTGTTTTCTCTCCATAACCTGGCCAGTGTCTACTGCTTTTCCCAGAATAAAAGTTTCTTACTTCATTTGCTCAAAATCATGTATTTTCTTTCACATATTTATCATTTTTTGGGTATATGTGTGTTTTTTTAATCAAGTCTTAAATTGCCATTCTTTTTGTTTACTGCTCATGAGAGATTTATGCCTGTAGTTTTTTTGATAGTGCACCATAGTACTTTCAAAAGTACACTGAAAACAAAATTGATAAAAATCCTTAACTTGATTAAGCTTACATCCAGGATGGAGAAGTTGAAGACTAGCAGGATAAATAAATAAAATAATTAGTATCTTAGATAGTGATTCTGTGAAGGAAAATAAAGCAGCTGGTCAGAGAGAGAGAGAGTTTGGAGTATAGGGAGAAGAGTGGAAATTTTAAATAGGGTGGTCAAGGAAAGCCTCACCGATAAGGTAACATGTGAGTAAAGACCTCAAGGAGGTGAGAGAGTGAGCTGAAGGATCATCAAGTGCAAAGGTCCTGAGGCAGGAATATTAACGATGCATTCACAGAACAGCCTCAAGGTCAATGTGGCTGCGGCAAAGTGAGTAGAGAGTAGTAGGAAGTAAATAGAGTTGTAACTGGGAATGTAGGTCTTCTAAGAACTTAGATTTCATTTTGAATGAGATAGGGAGTCATTAGTGTCATCAGCTTTGTAGTTTAAAAGAAATACTGGCTGCCAGCTTGAGGGTAGATTTTCAGGGAGCAAGGGCAGAAGCAGAGAGACCATGTAGAAGATTCAAGGTGATAGATAATTTTGGTTTGAATAACAGCATATGCTACTGGATTGAATTTGAGTTATGCAACAAAGAGATGAGTTAAGAATGACTCCCAAGAGTGCATGACCTGAATAACAGAAAATATAGAGAGCTTCATTTAATAAAGAAGGGGAAGATTATATGATAAAAGGAGTACATTTGTGGGAGAGGATCAGGAATTTCATTCTGAATATGTTAAGTTGAGATGTCTGTCAGGTAGAAAGCTCAAGGTAGCAGTTAGACACATTGGTCCAGAGTTCAGTAAAAGAGGTCTGAGATGAAGGAAGAACTGTGGAAGTTGTTAATTGTAGATGATATTTAAAGGTATGTATTAGTCCATTTTCATACTCTATGAAGAAATATTTGAGACTGGGTAAATTATAAAGAAAAAGTGGTTTAATGGACTCACAGTTCCTCATGGCTTGGGAGGTCTCACAGTCATGGCAGAACATGAAGGAGGAGCCTGTCTTACATGATGCAGGCAAGAGAGCATGTGCAGGGGAACTGTCCTTTATGAAACCATGAGATGCTATGAGACTTACCATCACAAGAACAGCATGGGAACAACCCTACCCCATGATTTGATTACCTCCCACTGGGTGCCTCCCATGACACATGGGGATTATGGGAGCTACAATTCAGGATGAGATTTGGGTGGGGAGATAGCCAAACCATATCAAGATGTAACATTGATGCTGTACAGTAAATATAGATAGAGAGGATTTAAAATTTTAGCCTTGGGGGCATCTTTAATAAAGGGGTTAGGAGAAGAGGAAGAATTAGTAGAGATGGCTAGAGAAGAAAACTCAGGGAGTTGAAGAGAAAAAGTCATTTGTCTTTCAGAATATCTGAAAGTGATGTAAATGTTTGAAGGAAGGAAGAGTACTCATCTGTGAGAATCTTATTTATAGGTGAAGTTAAAGATGGACTAGGTTCAAGGGAGAGTGGGAGGAGAAATGTGGCAGCTTAAAGGGGAAGTTGGAGTGAAGAAATGATTTTTTTAAATAGGAGAGAAATAACATACTATTGAGAGTGTTCCAATAGAGAGGAGTAAACTGATGATGCAAGAAAGAGTGGACAATGGTTAAAGCAGTGTGTACAAGTAGATCACTGTAAGTAGCAGCATGGATGGTTTATTCTTAGTAAGAAGAAAGGCAGAGGTTATGGCCCAGATCCATTGTTAAAAAGCATTCGGTTGAGCTTTGTGCTATCTCCAGGATATGTTATGTACAAGCAGCATCATGATTACTTGCTTCCCACTTCTTTAGGCTTGTCCTGTAATTCTCCTTTATGATTTTTTCTTTAACAGGTTATGTAATGTATGTAAATGTATAGTGGTTCCTAGTTTGGGAATTCTGTGGTTAGAAAATTCTGTTAATAGAATTAAGACTTACAATAGTTATTTATGAATTATACACCTCTTGATGTTTTTAAAAAGTTTCAAGTT